GATCTAGACACATCCTCCAGCTATGGATTAAATAGCAGTTCTGACTTGATTCTTTAGTCTTGAACATGGCTACAAATTATGAAGACTGCTGGATCATTTTATACTGCAGCCTTCAAAACTTAATCCCTGGCATTTTACACTTGTAAGAGTTTATTTCACCTCAAACAAGGTGGGAATGACACTCATACACAGGGGGTTACATGGAGTGAAGAAGATCAGATATGGCAGCAGTATTCAATGCATGGATGAATGGTAGATTTGTAAACACACAAGATGGACTTTACATTATTCAGACTATTGTCCTCATCTTTGTCACTATATTTATTACAACGTTTCAGCCGTTTCACACTCTGGCCTTCTTCAGGTGGTTGGAATATTGAACTAAACCCTTTATTTCACTCACTGGGGTAGACTGTTCTAGTTTCAGGTGCTATGTTTAATGGATGTCAGTTATCAGTTATCTCTTGTTAATTTCTCTCTGAAAGTTCTCTACTGCCTTAACCAGGTATTGAACTCACACTCTTTGGGTCCTGTTACTGGATCTAACCAACACCTTTATCCACTGTGCCATGTGTCCTCAGAAATATAGATAGATAAAGATGGACTTTGCCGAGAAAAAATTTCTGGTCAGTGATCCGACTTTCCTTGCAGTAAATGCAACTGTTGATTTGATGTAGCCACTTCACTTCAGGTTAGTTGAAAACACGAGGCCAAGAAGGCACGGGGTGTTGCTCTCAGCAAGCAGAAAAACCTCTCTACAGTGGTTAAATGAGAGGAGTTTTGCTTTTGAGGCATGAAAATATACAAGCTTAAGCTGTAAAATTATATATATATATATATATATATATATATATATATATATATATATATAATCTGCATTTAGACATTCAGGATTATCTGCAGATTCATCTTCAATTTATGGCCAAGTAGTAATTTACTAATGTTATGTCCTTTAGTAGGTAACTGGACTAAGAGGACAACGCTGAATTCAAAATCTGGGTGGGGGGCTGTTTGGGGGGGCCTTGGGGCACACTAAGTGCACAATGTTAAAATTCATGTAGTCAGGGCACCAGGGAAAAAATCTAGTAATTTACTAATGTTTGGTAGGCAAATGGACTAAGAGGATAACTCTGAATTCAAAATCCTTTGGGCTGTTTGGGGGCCCTGTGGCACACAATGTGCACCAGTTTTGTGTACTAGTGCTAAAATGCATGGATAATTCTGCAGAAGCCTTTACCACTAATATTCAAATCATATGTGCGGGTAGTCTATTCAATTCTAGGAGGTGAATTCATGGACCTTCATATGTTGAAAACAATGAGAAAGTCCATTACTGATTGAATTTTCATGGTTTATCAACCTTTTCCAGGTTATTTAAAGCCAGAAAATATTTTTAGATTGTAAGAATTTTTTTTCAAGATAATAATGATTTACTGATACAAGTCCTACTATTTAACTCTTAGATGGAAGGAGAAGAGTTGGATTTATATCTCACCTAAACTTTGCTTCGCGATCTATTTACATGAGCTCTCTAGTTAGGTTATGCATTGTTTTTGTCTGAACCTCTTGCCTTCAATCTGTCCAGTGAGTATCAAATTTTCCAAGCTCTTTTTCTTCATTATCTGCCTATAAATTTCAACTCTCTTCCTGATGTTAAATACAGGGTGCACCCACATGATGATGAGACATTAGCTAGATGAAGACAACATTGCTACTAATGTCGTACCACTACGTGAGAGGTATTTCTACCACACAGTGTATAAGTGTCCTTATAATACAAAATAGCTTCTTTAAACATTAATTTTTTTAAATGTTTTATTTATGTTTCTTTTAAGGCTAGAGTCTGCAATAATGATACTGATTACCGCAATTACTCAATTGAGCATTTTATTTTTGTTCTTAAAATTTACTATAGTTCTTCTAAAATATTAATTTTGCATTGTTCATTTTTTTTTTTCAATATCTGACTTTTTTCCTTTTAGCGTTATCAGCAGAGACAATTTTATTTTTTCTCATCAATACATTCCTTTCACTTTCTCTGATAATAGATTGTAATCATTGGCATGTATCGTCTATTTTTTTTTTATATCTTCCTCTCAAACTCCTGTGAGGAGAATCTATTAAATCTTAAATGTTAAATGACTGCTAAGATGCAATTAGCGCCATTAATTCATATTATACTAAAGAAAGCAATTTTGCTTTGTTTATTTTCCAGACTGGAGTTATAACTCCAAGGCAATAGTTCTTTCCTCAACCTTCTGCTTTCTTGGCTATGGTTTTTGGTCAGCAGTTATACCTTGCCTTGAGGGGGAGACACTGCATCTCTGGTGATCCATCTCCCAGGCAGCACCTCCCCAAAACATTAATGGTACATGATCAGGGGTCTGCTCTGGTGCCTGCAGCAAAAGCTGTTGGGACTGAGCAATTTTTGTTTTCAGTCAGACTACGCCCAATAGAAAACAACCATGTTCCTTAACCCTATTTTCATTTACACACACATACACAGCAGACGCCAAAAAGGCAAAACTACATGAAAATATACACAAACACATACAAAAATGCACACAGACTTACAGACACAAACATGCAAAAATGCACACACAAGCATGCATATATATATATATATATATACACTCAGACACATACATGCACCAACATGCATACAAATTGATATATACACAAACAACTGCAAGTGCACAAAATACATACACATAGAAACACAAACACACCCACAAATACATATAAACACACCCACAAACATATATATATATATATATATATATATATATATATATATATATATAATATATTATAATAATACTAGCTTTGGTTTTTGAAACATGGTAATTCATGTTTGTAGCGAAGACACCATATTTTAAATCAGTTAATTTATAATATATATATATATATATATATGTGCCCACAAATGTATATACACAGAACATTCCCACATATACACAGAAAGTTGTCCAGATGCATATATATATATATATATATAAGTATATATATTTATATAAATCTGCCCAGAAATGCATATATACAGAAACCTGCCAACCAAAGAGATATGTGCAAAAACATATATATGTATATATGTATATATATATATACACACACACACAGAAATGCTCACAAATGTATATACACAAAATATGAACACAAAACACACATATGCACAAACATGCCCACAAAACACACATATGCACAAACATGCCCACAAAACACACATATGCACAAACATGCCCACAAAACACATACACAGATCTTCAAACAAATAGACACATCTATACACCTCCAAAAGAATACTCACAAGCATAGATACACACAAACACAAAATCAATCGTAATGTATGACAAGGTGAAGAATCTATTTGTCTTATCTTTTTTTGATCACTCTCTAACATTTCATTTAATAAGTTTTTACTTTTACTCATATAAAATATAGTCACTTGTTCTCTGGTGTTCTATTTCCAAAGCAATACCTCCCTATCATTCTGATGCTTTTTGGCAAAAAACTTTCAGAATAAGAGTTTGTGACATACATCAATTGAAAGCATGTAGCATCACCATTAAAAATAGGTGTTGTACAATAAGAACTGTGACCAGAAGTAATAATTAAAAAGAATTTTTTTTCTTCCTATTCCTATAGATTAAATACCCTATGATCACAAACTAAAAAAAAAAAAAAGAAAATTTTCATTAAATTCTATAAAAGTTAATGGAGAGGTGTTACGTAAATTCAATGATACCCATCCAATAAAAACCAAAACAAATAGGTTCGTATAATGTGATTTCTTAAAACTATTATCCTCATCTTTATTATTGTTAACATGTTTCGGCCATTGTGCCCTCTAGACTTCATCAGGTATATGTTGATCCAAGTAATTTGGAATTTTGAACTGAAAATCTTTTTTTAATCTATGGGGTAGACTGTTCTCATTCCACTGTCCATGTTTAGAGATATCTTATATAGTTCCTATTTCGTACTGCTCATTTCCACTGAGTCTAAATACACACTGCCTGACACAGGGATTGAATTCATGATTACTATGCTGCCAAATTCACGAACAAGTGCTTTAATTTACTAGACTCTTAGGCCTTGTTGTGGTTGCCTGTAATTTTGGTCAGTTATTCAATTCACCTTCTCCTAGAGTAGTGCCACCAAAGGCTACAGAGCTCAGACTGCCTTTCTATTTAATCCTTAGGTGGGGGAGATATGTATTGATACCTTTACCAAAGGCATTTGTGAGAAAATGAATGCAAGGTTTAATGGTTCCATGTTCTGTGCTTATAATGTTTATTCCATATCCATATCAGTAATAAATGAAATACTTGTTGTGAGAGTTTCATTTACTAATAAATTCAAGACTGTATTCAGTTTCCTTTCCTCTCTTTCTCTTGAGAGTTTTTATTGTTTCTTGTTAAGCATTAAAGAAGTCTTAAAAAAAAGGAAAATAAAAAAAAAGAGTGCTTGGAGAATTAGACACTCAAAAGACCTAATCAAAAGCAAAAGAGACAGTGAGAGGCAGCAGGCCATCTATCAGACCACTTTGCATGAATGGATAACAGAACTGAGGTTGGGATGGATGGCAAAAAAGACTGTTACAAAGTTATAAGGGATAAGATGCTGTGGAGAGTCATGATCAGCCACGGAACTGAGAAGAATTATATCTTGTGTATCCACAAAAACACTACATCCTTTCTCTTCTTTCTCTCTCTTTTTAATATTGAAAATATATTCATTGCTTTTATTTTTTATTGTGCAGGCATACTTTCATTTACTCGATACTCACGTTAAATTCTTCACTCATGTTAAGTCTTGTGCAGGCATACTTTCATTTACTCAATACTCCCATTAAATTCTTCACTCATGTTAAATTCCCCACTCATGTTAATTCTTGCGCAGGCATACTTTCATTTACTCAATACGTCTCTTGGTACCCTTTTATTTTCTCGCATCTCTCTCGCGTGTCATGGTACCCTTTTATTTTCCTGCATCTTCTCATGTGTCATGGTACACTTATTTTTTGCATGTCTCTCACGTCTCTTGGTACCCTTTTATTTTCTCGCATCTCTCTCACGTGTCATGGTACCCTTTTATTTTCCTGCATCTTCTCATGTGTCATGGTACCCTTTTATTTTTTGCATGTCTCTCATGTCTTTTGGTACCCTTTTATTTTCTCAGATCTTGGTACCCTTTTATTTTCTCGCATCTCTCTAACGTCTCTTGGTACCCTCTTGTTTTTTCACATCTCTCTCTCATATTCCTTGGTAACTTTTTGTTTACCTATATCTTTCTCTTATCTTTTGGTACCATTTCATCATTCTTACATCTCCCTCATTCTAACTTTTTCTTCCTTTCTTTCCTCTTTTCAGACAAAAAACTCACTCTAAATTGAAGCTTTAAATAGAGATCATTACTTCCAGAACATCAAGTGAAGTTTGAACTCATTATCAACTGCTTGCATCACTAATATCTTTGTTAACAATGCTCAACATTTAAAACAAAATATGTAGCCTCTACCATTATTACAAAAGCACAGTCTTCAATCACTTGTCATCTTCTCTTCCATCTAAAGCCCCTGCATCTAGTCAAAAAAACTGCAAACTTCAAACTGTTTTATTGTATTTACAGATAAGAGTTTAATGTCGACTTTGTGAAGAAAATATGAAGAATATGATTGAGCCATTTTAGGGCAAAAAGTGGATTTTACGAAGCAATATTTTCTTTTGTACTCACCCATCAAGTGATTTGAAGGCATGAAAGGTTAGAGTGATTTTAAAAAAAAAAATCCTTTATGTCATTTCAGTGACAAGCAAGAAAGGCTGAGAGATTTTATAAACATCTTGATGTTAATACATGTTCTATCCAACAGAGATTTACCTTACTCCCACACATACATGAACATGTTGTACACACACACACACATATATATATATATATATATATATATATATATATATATATATATATATATATATCAATACAAGGTTGGTATGGATGGAATAAACTAACAATAAACAAAAACACTATTTTTAAAAAAGTGTTCAATACAAAGTAGAGCAAATAATATTTATTTAAAAATTATAACATAAGTATGTTATAACATCACTACAAAAATAGCCATTTTGTTTCAACACTTCTCGTGTCTTGTCAAGTGGTCTTGTTGATTGTAATATAAAAAGTTTTTGCTTTTTTTTTTTAATTGCAACATCTTCACTTGACAAGACTCCAGAATTTTTAAAACAAAATGGCTATTTTTGTGATGTTATACCACCAGTTTGTTTCAGGCTTAAATGCAATCTTCGGGCCATGTTTTGGTTGTTGCTACTTGCTGTTTACATCAGTGGCAATTTTATATTTACATACACGTATATATATTTACATATATCTGATATTGAACAATTTTACCCATGAATATAGAATACCTTAAAACAATATATTTGTTGTTTATATGTTATTTTTATAAATACAAATATTTAAGTAAATGCTCTGTTTATAATAAATTAAATATTTGTATTTATAAAAATTTGTATATATTAAAATAATTGCTGAATTTAGTCCATTTCATGATCTATGATGTCATTTGTTTATGTGAAGATACACTTTGAGCTGATATGAGCATTTGAGAGAAATCATGGGAAATTTGTAGTTTAAAATCAGTAATTTGGCTTTGCTAACCAGACGCTGCCTCTGTAGGTAAATGGTATAGCATGTCAGGCTATATGATGGTTCTGTATAGGATACAGATTCAATTCCTGTTCCTAACTCCGCAGACTGCAACTATTATTATGTGTGGGGCACAGTCAAGCAAGAGACCAACAAAACTCCTTGTAGCTCCAAAGATGAACTGAAGTCAAGGATTATGAGAGCATTCACCAACTTAAACAAGGAAACCATCCAGAAGAGTTGCAGGAGATTCCAAAATCGTCTGGAGGCCATGGTTGAAACCAATGCTGATTTTATTGAATAAATTTACTCTTTAGTATTTCAAGATATTTTTGTGTAGTTTTGGTAAATATATCTGTTAAAATGAGATATCAGTGTTTTGATTTTTGCATAATTTAGATGACAATTTATCCATCGCACCGTGTACAGTTAAAATTCCAAATAAATTAATATATATATATATATATATATATATATATATATATATATATATAAACAAACATGTATAACCTCACACACACACACATATATATATATATATATATATATATATATATGCACACAGTGTTATTTTCATTATTGTGCAATTTAGATGACAATTTATACATCGCACCCGATGTGTGTATGTGTGTGTGTGTATATATATATATATATATATATATATATATATATATATATTGCACATTGAGTGCTGTTATTAATAAAATATTTCTTGATGTAACATAACAGAGCTATTATGTATATATTAATAAATATACAATTTTTTCCTTTCCCAGTAACATGACTCTGAATGATATGCACAGCACAATTTTCAGATACTGAGGATTGTGTTGTGTATAAAACTCAAGTCTCACTACTGGCCACTAAAACAAAATGTATACTTTTATATATATTATATATATATATATATATATATATATATATATATATATATATATATATACACACACACACACCTGTAGGTGTTGAATAAAATAAACACAAAATGTGCTTAAGTAGGCTTTATATAGTTTTATATAGGTACATATATTTATATAGATATAACTGGGAGAAAGTATTCAAATAGTAGTGACCAATATTTTTTCCTAGTTTAATAAAATTTTAAAAATAAATGATAAAATCTTGAATTTCCACTTAGAGATTGTTAGCGAAAAAAGGTCACGTTGTATTTGCCATTTGATAGGATGGTGAGTGTTTAGTTTTGACTAATTTCTTTTGAATAGATTACTTTTGGTTTTATTATAACAGCTATCATGTTGGTGTGAATCTTTCTTTTTTTTTTAATCTTAATATAAATTAGCAAAATTATGTTTACTGATGTTGATTATTAATGATCGGAAGCAAGCAATATGTTTGACATATTATGCTTTTAATCCCAGTATTCCTCAGTTCATCCTCCATTTTAAATTGTCAGTATTTAGTATTTTTTTCACCATTATATTCAAACTACACACACACACACATATATATATATATATATATATATAGTTGTGCTGTATTTATGGGTTAAAGTACTCTATATAAGGGATAGTGTATCTAAATATACAAGTGGACATTGAAGTCAACAGCAAGCAACAACAGTGTGTTTCATGCTTAAATGCAAATGTACACCTAATGATTGCATTTAAGCATGAAACAGAGTGTAGTTGCTGGGTGTTGAAATTTGTAGTTTAAAAGCAGTAATTTGCTAACCAGATGTTCCTCTGTAGCTAAAAGGCTATATGTCGGTTCAATGTAGGATAGAGGTTCAATTCCTGTTGGAGGACACATATTTTCTATGAAATTTCTTGGGCATTCAGGTTGGTAAATGTTGTTAATACTGTTTATTATAAACAGAGCATTTACTTAAGTATTTGTATCTATAAAAATAGCATATAAACAATAAATATATTGAAAAATAATTGTCTCACTTAATCCATTTCAATATATATATATATATATATATATATATATTTAAGATAATCCTAAGGAGCTAGCATGGCATACCTAGCGGTCTTAAGCCAGTGGATGACAGAATGGGGTCTGGGGGAAGAAGCAGAAGGAAGGAACTTGTTGAGAGCTGGAAGGGACAGAAGGAGGTGGAGAGCCATGATCGCCTACATCCTGAAAGGACATGGCACATAAAAGGAAAGAAAGGAAAGATAAACAAGGGAATGACATACCTAGGAGACTTAAGCAAGTGGATGACAGAACATGGTCTAGGGGAGGAAGCTGAGGGAAGGAACTTGTTGAGAGCTGCAAGGGATAGAAGGAGGTGGAGAGCCATTCTGGGAATGGTTGTTTGGAAAGTACAGAGTACAGCAGTAAAAATATTATTAGTAAATGTATATAATTTACACGTGTCCTATTAGTTGTGTATTATCCTCGAGAAATGAATTCAGAGAGGTAATTCTTTGGCTCTTGTATTTTCTGACAGATCGATGAGATAGAATGTAAAGAAAAGTGAATAAATCGAGGTCTTGATTGCCTCCCTACTCCAAAAAAATTTCAAAATTTCCTTTCTTTAATCATGTTGCTTAACAATAATGAAATCAATTAATCAATGTAAACCTCATTGAATTATAAGTTTATCTGTTGGAATGGAGTCAAAGTTTTTATTGCATTTCATCTCTTTGTCTATCATCAGTCTCTCTTCTGTCAATTTTATCTTTCTTTCTTTTGCTGTTTATTTGTTAGTTTTTTTCCATTTTCCTCATATTTTCTATTGAATCCACTCCTGCTTTTTTTTTCTCAAACATTCAAAATTCATTTACTTTCTTTTTTTTATCTTTTCTTTTTCTATCAATTCTTCCTTCCTCCACACAACACTTTCTATCTTTTCTTCCTTCACCTCCTACTTACTTTGTATTCTTCTCCCTTCGCTATCTTTTTCCATTTCTCCTCTTTATTCCTAGTACTTCTTTCTCTCTCTGTTTCTAGCATCTCTTTCTCTTGAGTATTTCTTCTCTTTTTCTAATATCATTCTTTCTTTCTACTAAGTTTTTCTCCCTTTTTCTTTTCACTATGTTTTCCTTTCTTCTCTCTCTTTCTAGTATCTTTTTTCTCCCTTTCTCTCTCTATCATTTTTCTCTCCCTTTCTCTCTCTATCATTTTTCTCTCCCTTTCTCTATCATTTTTCTCTCCCTTTCTCTCTCTATCATTTTTCTCTCCCTTTCTCTCTCTATCATTTTTCTCTCCCTTTCTCTATCATTTTTCTCTCCCTTTCTCTCTCTATCATTTTTCTCTCCTTCTCCTCTTTCTGTCTAGTATCTTTCTCTTTCTTTCTCCTCTTGCTTTCTAGTATCTTTTTCTTCCTTCCTTCTATTTCTATCTATTTCTTACTTTTTACCCCATTTTCTTTTTTCCTATTCCCTTTATAAACTACTTTTTTTATATCTGTTTTTGTTTTACCTGATTTTTCTTTTTATTTCCTTTTTTTCTTTCTCACACACTTTTTATTATCTCCCTTTTTTTCCCTAGTTTTCTTTTTAATCCACTTCCATCATTGTCTCTCAATTTTTCAAGATTCTATCCTTCTTTTAATGACTTGCAGTTATTTAATTTTCTTCATCTCCCCCCACTTTTATATTTCAGTATTTATTTATTTCCCCTGCTTCACTTATTCCTTCATTTGTCTTAACTTTCTTCCCGCTCAAAGAATTTCTATTTACCCTTCTCTCTCTCTCAAATGATGTGTCCATCCTTCTCTCTCTCTCTCAAATGATGTGTCCACCTTTCTCTCTCTCAAATGATGTGTCCACCTTTCTCTCTCTCTCTCTCTCAAATGATGTGTCCACCTTTCTCTCTCTCTCTCTCTCTCTAATGATGTGTTCACCCTTCTCTCTCTAATGATGTGTTCACCCTTCTCTCTCTCTCTCTCTAATGATGTGTTCACCCTTCTCTCTCTCTCTCAAATGATGTGTTCACCCTTCTCTCTCTCTCTCAAATGATGTGTTCACACTTCTCTCTCTCTCAAATGATGTGTTCACCCTTCTCGATCTCTCAAATGATATGTTCACCCTTCTCTCTCAAAAGATCTCTTTCCCTCTGAAGAGAACTCTCCCCTGCAGCCTTTCTCTATCCCAGCTTTTGTTTTTTGTTATTTACTTATCAGCACCTATTTTTTCTTCTTGATTGTCCCCACCCCCCACCATTCATTTTAGGGTGCCTACTGTAGTACAATATTTACAGCAGTTTATTTTGTTTTTGTTTTTTTTACAGTGAGGTTCATCATTTACAAGGCCCTGGTGTGGGGAGGAACACTCAAAGTAGAGGGTTACATGATGACCTCAGTTCATCCTGATTGGTGGTTGTTTGGGGGTCAGATCAGCCATGATGGACTTTTGCAGAGATAAATAGGTATCAGAAATAGAGGATATCTTTCTACTAAGTAATAGAACATTTTCACCCACACATATAGATTTTTGACCCTTTAAATGATTTTCTGAGCCACTTTTTAAAAGACACCCATTTTATTGTATAGTGTGGAAAAAGTCCCAGCTTGCCACCAATTATCATGACCATCCCCTTTATATTAGGCACCTTGGTGTATATATTAATGGCCAGCCTGTTAATAATAGTCTTTTTTTTTATATGGGAACACATAAACTTAGAGTGATATAAAACAATTGTACTGGTCCCATTATCTTTTATTGAATAGAAGTATAAAGAAGTATAAATAAATGTAAATATAAAGACCCATGAATGGAAATGACTAGCAGGAGGGTGGCGGGGGGGGGTGATACAATCAGTTTGCCCCATCCCAGCAGATATCTATGTCATTGGGTACCCTTTATTGTGTTAGATGATAGGAAGCTTGATAAATAATCATTGCTCTTACCATTTTAATTTTAGTATCTTTTTTTTTTTTTATCTTCTCTCCAATTTTTACATCTGTTTCTTTAAACTGTAACCATTTTTTTCTTCTTGTTTTTCACTTCATTTTTCTCTCTTCAGTTTTCTATTTTCTTCACTTTTCTCTTTCTTTGTTTCTCTTCTCTCTCTTCACGTTCTCTTTTCTCATCTCTCTTCACATCTCTCTCTTGATAAATAATCATTGCTCTTACCGTTTTAATTTCAGTATCTATCACTTTTTTATCTTCTCTCCAATTTTCACATTTGTTTCTTTAAACTGTAACCATTTCTTTCTTCTCGCTCTTCACCTCTTCATTTTTCTCTTTATTCATGCTTCTCTTCTTTCTCTTCATTTTTCTCATCTCACTTCTCATCATTCACTTTTCTCTCTCTATTCACTTTTCTCTTCTCTCTCTATTCACTTTTCTCTTCTCTCTCTCTATTCACTTTTCTCTTCTCTCTCTCTATTCACTTTTCTCTTCTCTCTCTCTATTCACTTTTCTCTCTCTATTCACTTTTCCCTTCTCTCTCTCTATTCACTTTTCCCTTCTCTCTCTCTCTATTCACTTTTCTCTTCTCTCTCTCTATTCACTTTTCTCTTCTCTCTCTCTCTATTCACTTTTCTCTTCTCTCTCTCTCTATTCACTTTTCTCTTCTCTCTCTCTCTATTCACTTTTCTTTTCTCTCTCTCTCTATTCACTTTTCTTTTCTCTCTATTCACTTTTCTTTTCTCTCTATTCACTTTTCTTTTCTCTCTCTATTCACTTTTCTCATTCTTTCTCCTCTCTTTCATTTCAAATACCATCTCATGGTCTTCTTTTCCATCCTTGTTTAGCCTCTTTCTACCGTATTTTTGTTTTTTCTTACAATTGATCACTTCTCATTTTTTTTTTATTTAACCCCACCAAATATCTAAACCCATTGTTTATACATTATCTTCTGGTTAATCCTTCTATTTTTAAACCTGTTAATAATTCCAATGAAATGAACACTTTATTTTTGTTGATTATTTTTTATAATTTCTTCACAAATATCTGACAGAAAATGGTTTTAGTCACTAACCCCAGTTTGGATTTTTATTTTATTCTGTTTTTTAAATTGCTATTTTCTGTGGCCTCAGACTTTTATCTTGGAAATTTTATTAAATACTAGTAAGATCAGTTGTGTCAATACAACAAATATTCGTGATTCATTGACCAAACAATGCTACTGTTGGTAGAAATATTTGAAGACTTACTTTTAAAACAGTTTTTTAAGAAATTAGGCTCCAATGCAATTTTACATTATAAATTATTTCCAGTGCATTGTCATAGTAAAAAGCATTTCCAACTGTAATGTTCAGATTAGCCATTTCCATTCAAGAAACATTTAGCTGTTACTGACCAAACAGTTAGAATTACTGTCAATTGAAAATTATGAAATCTTACTCATGAAAAAGTTTATCAAGAAATTAAACTTTTCAAGTCCACTAAATGTTATAGCTCTTTCCATTATTGGTAGTTTCCTTCCAAACCTTTTGTTTTTTGGAGCATGTAAAGTTAACAGCTTTATTATATTATTGTTTCCTCTTCCAATTACATGTGCTAACCATTTTTGTTGCTGCTGCTATTGTAAGTCTTAAAAGTGAAAATCATTGGCAATGCATTTTCATTGTAAATATCGTTGGCAATGCATTTTCATAGAAAACGTCATTGCCAATGCATTTGTATAATAAAAATCAGTGTCAATACATTTGTATAGTAAAAATCATAAGCAGTACATTTTCTGTGGACTTCAGGAAATTGGGAAACTGTTAACCATTCAACAAACGAAAGCAAAACTCTTAAAATCTAATTTTGTAAATGGGGCCAAATTCACACATGACCAACAGACACATGTCAGAAGCCCCATTCCCAAACCAAGGGAAGACAATTATTGCCTTCCTACACAATCATTTTAAAAAACAGTTTTTCAGGAAATTAGGTCTATTAAATTTTTCTAATATTGATAAGAGTTTTCTTCCTAACCTTTTACTTAAGGAAGTTTTGAAAGTTATAATCATGATCATATCATTTTCCCTACTAGTTACATGTTCTATCCATTTTAATTATTGCTGCTGTTGGAAATCTTCAATTGATGTGGCTTTTGTTATTTTGGAAGGTTCTTTCTTTGTGATTCTGTAGCAACAGTCTCGTATCTGATGATGCAATGTCTTCTTTAAGACCTAGAGGATTCATTTGTTTGATTCTGTTTTTAATCATAGATCTGAAAAAAATGGTTGTATACAGTTAAATCATTTCTGAATGTGTTTAATGAATGTGTTCAATGCTATGCATGATATATATATATATATATATATATATATATATATATATATATATATATATGTATGTATGTGAATCTAGATCAATGAGGCCACTTAAAGATAGTTACAAATCAAATTTATTCACATCTGGAAACATTAGAAATCTTAAATTTTAATTATAGAACAACAAAGAAATCCACTTAATTTGTCAATTTTTTTGTCAGTTTTAAAATGAGTATTGATTTAGTGTTTCTCTGAAATACTACAATCTTGTATATATGAGGTACTTAGAGCTGAGATTCAAGATGGTTGCAATCGGTCAGACATGCTGTTTGTAAAAATAGCACAAGTTCAAAGAAATTGTTGTCTTGTTTGCTGTTTTATGACAAAAAAATTTAAACATTGACAAAAAATTTACCAATGCAAAAAATGCAGAGAACTAGTTCCTAATTTCACAGACAAAAAGAATTTGGGATGTTAGGAAAGAGAAGAATTCGAGATGTTAGGAAAGAGAAGAATTCGGGACGTTAGGAAAGAGAAGAATTCGGGACGTTAGGAAAGAGAAGAATTCGGGACGTTAGGAAAGAGAAGAATTCGGGATGTTAGGAAAGAGAAGAATTCGGGATGTTAGGAAAGAGAAGAATTTGGGATGTTAGGAAAGAGAAGAATTCGGGATGTTAGGAAAGAGAAGAATTCGGGACGTTAGGAAAGAGAAGAATTCGGGACGTTAGGAAAGAGAAGAATTCGGGACGTTAGGAAAGAGAAGAATTCGGAACGTTAGGAAAGAGAAGAATTCGGGATGTTAGAAAGCAGAAACCTTTTCATATACGGCCACAGCTTTACCATACAAGCTGTTGCTTATGTGGTTGACATAGCAACTAAGTTCTTGGGGTGGAGTCATTAACACTGTAGAATTGTGGAGTATAATGTCACAGTGTTAACATACTAGGTGTTTCTGAAGTGGCTTCCATCTGCAAGCAGGTTTTTATGAGATGGAATTGCCAGTCATATCCCCAACCTGCTTTGAGTTCAGAATTCTTCTTCTCTCAGACTGGTTGCCAATCAGTCAGCCCAGTTTACCCTAGTATTTAACCTATAGCTCAGGAGGGAGACAAAGAAAGGACAATGTACTTAAAAAGAAAATTTATTTAAAGCTTCAAGTTCACTATAGCAAATAACCATAGTGGATTTGTGAATTTGGCGACAGTGATTCCTGAATATCAAATTAAACTCAAAGAATACAACTGATCCTCTGCTCTGTCTCAATGCTATAAATTAAACCAATTCTCAGTGAAAACAGTCAAGCAATAACTGAGCAGTACTAAATAAAGTAAAAACTAGACAATATATCCCTAGATGTGAGCAGTTTATTTAGTAGATTAAATTAAATAAAATGTAACTCAGGATAATAGGATAACCAGATCAATATAAACTTGATGAAGGCTGGAGATCACAGCAATTGAAGCTTTGTAATACTAACAAAAAAAATGGAGGACAATAGTCCAAACATAAATAGCATATATTTTATTTTGTTGTATTCTCTTATCTGTGTTCAATAAATCCTGAATATTAAACTAAAGTCAAGAATTCTGCCCGAATTCTATAAATGAAATCAATTCTCAGTGAAAACGGGTGAGCAATAACTGAGCAGTACTAAATAAAAATAAGAACTAGACAGTATTCCACATGCTGTGCCTTTTCCAGATATCTCAGTTACCTCCCTTTAATTCAACTCTCCCAGTTTTTGTTCACTACTGCAGTAGTCAGGTATTGAACTCACAACTCTTTGGGTCAGGTCGCTGGATCCAACCAATACTTTTATCTCACTAATATAGACAGATATTTATACAATCTCTATCAGCCTAAATGTGAGCAGTTTATTTAGTAGATTAAATTAAGTAAAAGGTTTCCCCAAAATAAAAGGACAACCAGATGAATAGAAAATTGATGAAGGCCAGAGAGCACAACAACTGAAGCTTTGTGATAGCAACAGCAAAAATGAGAACAATAGTCCGAACATAAATAGAGTAAATTATATTTTGCTGTATTTTCTTCTGTGTTCAATACATCTTTAATATTAAACTAAAGTCAAAGAAAACAGCTGGTTCTCTGCTCTGTCCCAATGAAGCCAATTATAACAGACAAACCTAATTATAGATGTTTAAGCATGTAACATTGACAAAGTTTTAGAGAAAATGGAAACAACAACAACACTTATACTTAGCATCAAAAGAAAACAGTTGAAATATCTTGGGCACATAATGAGGAAAGAAGGCATGGAATATTCGATACTCACAGGGCAGATTGAAAGCAAGAGGGTTTGGTTTGGTTGTTTTATGGCATATCAACCTCAGTGGGCCATTTAATGCCAACAAAATTTTTGAAATAGATTCATAGCAATAGAGGGAAATTAACAGGAGATAACTGATAACTGACATCCATTAGACATGGCACGTGGAACTAGAACAGTGTACCTCAGTGAACAAAATAAAAGGTTCAGTTCGACATTCCAACCACCTGAAGAAGGCCGGAGTGTACAATGGCCGAAACATGATAAATTTGGCGACAAAGATGAGGACAATAATGTAAATAAAGATTCATAGCAATAGTTTGGTAAAAAAAAAAAAAAGGTGTGTATGTATACATATATATTTGAACCATTTTTCAATTACTCATATTTTTGAGTAAAATCACATGCAATGCTGGTAATACTTTTTTTTTTTTAAAAACATATTGCAGGTAATATTTTTTTCAAAAATATATTGCTGGTAGTAGTTTTTTTCTTCAAAAATTTATTTCCGGTAATAATTTTTTACAAAGTATTTCTGGTATTAAAACCTATTTTTACACTTTCAAAATGCTTTTTACTTCAGTTTCGGGGTTAACTATTAGCCCATAGCTGGGACCCTGACAGGTGCTACCACCAAGGGTCAGGGTGGACCTGAGAACACCAGCAATTAAGAGGTGGTTCCACACTCCTCACCTCCTGATCAGAGGCCTTGCTGTTGGATGCAGTTTATCGTCATACTCAGGACGCCCCATTGGTGGGGGGTGTCTTACCCTTTTGCAGAGGTGCAGTCGGCATATTCTACAGCCCCAGCCAACAGGGTGGAAGGCAAGAGGGATTGAGAAAAACAGTGCATAACCTATATGTGTAAATGGTTGGCAGAACAGAGATTAGGAGAGATAGCAAAAAGATAGTTTACTAAGAGTTACAAAGGACAGGACATTATGGAGAGCCATGATTGCCCACATACTGAATTGCCATGACACATAGTAGAAGAATCCTAGAAAATAAATTTAGTATTTATTTTCAAACAGATGTCAATCAAAAAGCATATAGTGAACATAGCATTTGTTGCATGTCAAAATGCATGTCAAGTTGCATTAGAAATTTCTCTTCTTCTCTTGGCATTAAACCAAAATTCACTGATGTTCTTTCTTTCTTTCTTTTTTAAAGTCTGATTGTTTTTCAGTTCCTTGATAATTTCTTGTTTTCAGGGTTGGCTTTGAACCCTGCAATATATTCTCTCCTTTTTCAACTGGGAAATTAAGATAGAATGATGTTTCTCACAAGGTGCAGGCTGATAGATATTGTATCAATATCTGTCTATA